GTATCAGAGGATATATTGCTGCCTTTATATTGCAACCCTGACCCAAATTAATGAATGATAATTTCTTTGTTATAAAATGCTTTGTTTGTGTTTGATACAAAGGAACGTAGGAAAAATTTTCAAACCACTATATCATTTTAGTTAGGCCTTGGGTTGGAAGGAGCCTGCTGAAGGTCTTGCATCAAGTAAAACAGGGTCCTTGACCGAGGAGCCTGGTCAAGGTGTTTGTCTCAACATTTTGTTAAAGACTGCCTTGTCCAATGTTAATCTTTTTCTTACACCTCACCTTCAAGAATACATGGCTGGCCTTTTTGGCCTCTTAGAATTCAATAGTTTGATGATTTCAATTGCCAATTTGAAATGAAGTTTGGTCTGAATACAATGTCTGATTTGAGAAATATATGTCTCATTTATTGTTTTGGCACCACATATGTTTAATATTTGTCCCTTTTATTTTCAGAAAGTTAATTAACAATACTCTTTTTGGCTGCATTGCAGTTTACAGGATTTATACCTCAATAGTTTTCCATGGTTCACTTCTTTTATGCCATCACCATCAACGAAGATTATTGGATATGTTTTCAACTGATAAAACCTTCTTTAACAACTTTTAAAAAAAAAAAAGGAACTGAAACTGATATTAAAAAAATAATAATAGAGGAAAAATCACACTTCCAGACATAAACCTAAAAAATGGTCTTTATCAATCGATAGACAAAGGTAAAAAAAGGGAAAAACACAAAGGAAAGTCTGCTTACTTTCAAGTTTGATTCAACTCATTAAAACTAAATCACAGTGAAATAACTTAGTGAAATGGCTACAATCACCTCATGATCGAATCAAAAACTAAGAAAAGACAGAAGAGTCTAGATAGCATTCATAAATCATAATCATGTGCCTTCCAAGTTTGATCATGTATTAATTCTACTATTAAAGAAGAACTAGAGCCAAATTTATTATTCTTCGACCGCAATGCTAAGAGCTTAATAAAAATCCATATCTTCCATAATGAATTTAACTTTAAAAAAAAAGAAGAAGAAAGTTTTCTGCTTCTTAGTGAATAAAAAAAGTGAGAAACTCAAGAAAACACATTCCCAACCTCTTATTTAACTATCAATCATTATAACATAAACAATAAGACCTGAAAAAAGGAAGAAAAGGAAAGGGAAATAGTGTCAAAACAGAAACCTTATTTAACTATCAATCATTATAACATATAAACTTAGTGAAAAGTACATATTATCTGATGCTCCAGAACTGCATGATATAAAAGCAATTTCAATTAGGAGTTTCAACTAACAACAGGAAACCAAATCAAAACTTACAAAAATGACGTAAACATAGCAATTCAATATTGTGCTTTGAGAAATGAAGGTCAACCAGTGAGCAATCGTCACCCCGAAGTTCTGGAAAAACAGCAATATGTCAGCAATTTTGCCTCTTTCAGATTTATCCCTCTCAATTTCATTTAATCATTTTCAAGTGAACAACTTCAAAACTCAACTTTCTTCAACATGTAAACATTCCACATTGTCCCTCCAACTACACACTTTTCTCTTAAATTTTTAGATGATTGGATGAAACAATGGCAGAATTTTGGGACGAACGAAAAGACGCTAAATCTGCACTGCATGACTGAGAGCTTTATAAATTAACTAATAATCTACTAAACTCTTTCTTCTGGGAAAAAAAAATAATACTTAACTCACATGATTATCAAAGATAAATCAAATATTACCTCTAGGTGCAGAAAAGCCTAGATTCCTTAGTGATCGTTCAATATTTAGGTAAATCAAATATATACCAGTAAAAGATGAGGTTACCATGCTTGTTTTCAAATTCCCATCATCCAAACCATGAAATTGACTTAAGAGCATAAACAATAAGAAAAGGAAAAAGAACCAATACAACTCCAAACAGCCATGCTTCTTAACTAAACTGTAAAATACAACTCCAGAATCAAATTCCAAAGGAACAACATAATAAACCCAAGTAATATCACATTGAACAAATAAATTAAATAAAAAAGTCTTCAAAATTTCCTTTCTTTTTCACATTTCAACAAACGCTATTATCTTTGCACTCATTTCTGCAAAACTAACAGAGGCTACCACATACAGGCAAGACTTGCCTCAAATTAACGCCATTGATTGCACTCATTTCTGGATTTCAAAATATCTAAAAACGGCTAAAGGTTTTCAATTTCTTTTACAATTTTGCTTTCTTTTCCTTCTTTATCAATCAGAAAGTGAGACTTCTGATTCCTAGAAGGAAGGCAAGGCTGGAAAACGAAGGGGCAGCTTTCAAATTCAATAACCAAACCTGTGAAGGACAATTTCAGGGTCACAACTCTACCTTCAATTCTAATCCACCCTAAACCTTAAAAAATGCAGAGGCCAAATCCCCAAAGCCAGAACTCTCAAATTTGCCCTCCAAATAAGGTGGTGGGGGCAAATCCAGCCTCAAAAAAATCCTGGACAAATCACAACTCAAGTTATCAATTAATACAAATACCTTATTATTTAACTGCTCTGACGTAATTACCGTTAAAAAATCCATTTACCTTATAATGAGATGACATTTTCTTACACCCGGAGACTTAGGTGTGTACCATTTGTGCATTTTTTCACAACATTTCCTAGGAGTTCCTCTCCTTTTTACGTTCCACGTCATCTACGTCCCATGGTATGCCTAATTTCTCTCCATTCCCCTTTTCACAAGATTAGTAACCAAACCTAATTTCCCAAATTGATTTCCTTTTAATAAACGAAAACGAAAACGAAAAATCAAAACCCTAAACCTCAAAGAAATTTCTGAGAAAATCAAACCTAATTACTCATAGCGTTTTTGAGAAGATGATCCCAAACAAACTTCTGCAGTCTTTGTCAGTGATCCTTACGTGGCCCAATGAAGGGGCAGTTTTAGTTGGCCGACACTGCACTTCAAAGTTTAAAACAACCTTACGGGGCCCAATGAAAGGGGCAGTGTTGGCCGGAGAGTGCAGAAAGCGAGTGCCCCTAGCACTGCTCATCCATTATTGATTGAAGAGCATGTAAATTATGAGAGAAGAGCTGGCTATCTTTTGAAGAGGAACCATGGTGGAGCTGCAACTGTATTAGATAATAATTGTGTTTATGCCAGAGATTTTGGAATTCGGCATCCTTCTTGAGGAAAAGTTTGGGTGGTTTTCCAACAGGAGGATAATCTTTAGCTTTGAGGCACTTTGTTGGAAAGGAGAAAAAGAAAGTTTGGACTTTGGATGGGATGGCCCGACACACAATTGGAAGGGCCAGCCCTGACTGCACAGTTTTTGGGGCTTTCCTTTTAAACTTTACGTTCCATTTTTATAGGTTCGATCCTCCTGTACGATTCTAGTTTTACTCTCTAATCTATCACTTAACAACTATAAATTATTCAAAATGGTCAAAGTAAATAGAGCTTAATCCTTTTATTAAAAAAAAAAAGAAGTTTAATGGAAAACTTGTGAAGGGGTCTTTTTTCACTTTCAGGTATCAGCTCGTGGTGGGCCTTTCGTATCCCATCCGTACGAATCTTCAGCGCAATAAAACATCGAAGAGGGTTCCACATTCATGAAAAGCCGGGGTTGAACCGTAACTAAGACAAGAATTTTTACTAATGATAGGAAAGGTTTAAGGGCCTTCAACGCCAGTAAACAGAAGCTTCTTTCAGTCTGTTTGGCGAAGGGCACTTAGAAGTCGGCAAGAAAGTGAGTAGACATGGATATCGCGAATAGACTGGCCAGAGAGCATTGAGCAAGAAATCCATCAGGTAGAAAACGAGAAACTCCAATGCGACAACCCTATATAAAAAGTTCCATAGTCATCTTCAAATCATCTCAACATTAATTAGCTTATGCTGAAATATTTTGCATTCAAATACATCAAACTAATAATTAAAGCTAATGATTATTACCATCGTACACTTTCTTTTAAATGTCATTGTTAGTGTTTGAATTTTTAATTTAAAAAAATTTTTAATTATTAAATTATTTTATATACTTTCTTTTATCATTAAA